ATAGGTACTATAACTTGAGCAAAAACATTATTTAATATAATGTGGGTAGTGGCCCTCATTTTGGAGAATGAGTTCAGTAAGTTAGGTTCAGCCTCTGTAGGGCCTCTCATTGTTTAGTACTATGGTCCTGTTAGAAAATTGACCTCTGTTATCAAGGAATAGTTTCAATAAGTCCAGAAATACTAGAGATCATCAAAGAAATTTTCTGCTAATGTGGATGTCAAATTTTATGTTCTTTGTGCTCGCAGATTTGCTGAGTAGCACTGACAGGTAATTTTATTTTTCCTTATGCATATGAGAATGTCCTGTCTTCTGGTTCCTCCCTCCTAATCCCATTAATTTTGGACCTTGTGACCATTCTCTGCCAAGCTAACAGTGGGTTATGGCTTTTTGTAGTATTACTTAATTATGACACACCAGAAAGCAGGAAGTAAAATGTTTCTGTTGCAGGAAGACTGTAATATACACTATGACACTCATCAGATTCATGGGGAGAGAAATATCCCATGTAACCTAAACATGGAGGGTGCTCAAATTGGAATTTGTACCTTACTAAACAGAAGATAGAGCTAAGGACGCATGGCCATCAGTTCTGTTCCAGTGTTAAAATCAAACAAACAAGTCTGTTGATGTGCAGTTATTTTCCAGAGTGAATGTTACAGTACTTAATGCAAAGAAGCACATTTTAACCAGGCTCTTGTGTTGTAGTTTTTTGTTGTTTGTTTGTTTTTCAGGCAGGTTTTGTTTTTGTGTTTCAGGACTTTAATTTGAATCTGCAGTTACAATATATGCTAAAGAAAAAATTACTACATATATGTTGGGCATAGCAAATATAAAGGCCTTTATCTTTCGGGTCCTACTTATCTGAATCCTCTTTGGTAAAAGTCAAATACTTAGAGATTTTGTTCCACTGGGGGAAGTGGAAACCTAATATGTGGTGATCATCTGGCTCATACAAACATCTGTTGGGAAAAATGTCGCTTGAATTGGAGGTGTGCAGAATTAACCTCCTACATAGGAGTCATTTGTAGTGAGCTGTCTGTGCAACAAGGTTCCTGCTTTGTATTTATTTTACTCCTTGCAGTAACTCAGTAGTTCCTGTGTGATGGCACTTGTTTTCTGTATAATTCTTGTAACTAGCAATTTGTCTAACTCTTTTTAACTGCAGTTTTAACTGGTGAATAGCATCACAGGAGATTTTAGAAACCTTTTGTCTTATGAAACATTTTACAGTGCACGCCAGAAACCCAAAGCTAGTTACCAAGATGAGCGAAGAAATAGTACAAAACTGATTATATTTGTTATTGGAGGCATTACGTACTCTGAGATGCGATGTGCTTATGAAATTTCTCAAGCCAACAAGTCTTGTGAAGTTATTATTGGTAAGTTAGTCTTGGGAACGTGGAGGGTATGTAGCAGTTTGCCTGAAAACAGTATGGGGTCTAAAGGTGTGTGTGTATCTTTTCTTGTTCTTTTTTTTAATATAAGTGGGTTTTTTTTTTCTTTCCCTTATATTCCCTAGGTTAGTTCAGCAAGCTGATACTATACTGAACATATTTTGTGTGTGTTTAAACTATGCAGTTCACCTAAACTGACAAGATGCTTTATCTAGATTTTTTGTTTGTTTTCTCAACGAGAAATTAAGGACAGTAAAGATAATTCTGCTGAAAAATATAGAACAATTGCAATGATTTATGCCAGGGAAAAAAGGTACTCTTAAAGTATTTTCTGATATATAGCAAAAAGAATTAAGTGGATCCACATTACTTCATGTTGCAATGTTTTCACGCAAACTTTATCTACAATTGAACCTACTGCTATGGTTACTCTTGGTAGGAGCAGGAGAGTTTGTACTTTTCTATTTTACAGGTACAATAAAAATAACTGGCATGAAATTCTTGATTCCTAAGAAAGAATGTCTGGAAATTAAAAATATTAATTGCATGTCTGAAATTTTGTTCTGCTTACAGGTTCTACTCATATTTTGACAGCTAAAAGACTCCTGGATGAAGTAAAGAGCCTTAGTAAGCCAAAAGATAAGGTCTGCTTTAAGGATGAATAGAAATGGTGATATTTATAGTGTATTTAGAAAAGACAAACAGTATGTACATATTCTTACCGTATTAATTTTTCCAGATGCTCTACTGGAACACTGTGGTTTGGACTAATTTAATTTAAATTTGCTGCTTTTGGGGAAAATAGAAGGCACATAAAGAAAATAATCAGCACTTGTGTGTTTTACGTTGTATATCATATAGGCAATGTTACACTGTAAAGTGCGTTTGGAAGAGGGCATGTTCACCCCTAAGATTTATTATCTTGATTTTATTTATACTGTGGGGTGTTTTTTTTTTTTTTTTTTTTTTTTTTTTTTTGAGAACTGTGAAAGCTTTATATAACTGGAGAGTTTATTTCTTAAAAAATGCTGAAAAGGAAGTTTGTAAATAGAAGTTTGTGGTAAAACTATTTGACACAAGTGCAATGGCTCTAACTATAACACTTCTCTATGAAATGAATCACTGAAAAGAATCACTGAAAACTCTTTAAAGGTATGTCATCCTGTGGAAAAATCATGAAATGTAGTATTTTACATGCTTGGGAGATCAGAAGGAGGGGGTTTTCAAGTAGTGGTGGGTACAGTAGGAAGCTTGTGATGAAAGTATTAAGCAATCTAATTTCAATAAATAACTTCTGATAAAATGCTGAGAGTTTTGTGCACTGTAGTACACTTTATATTTAAGTACCTACAGGGGCTGCTGTTCAAGCTTTTCAGAAATAACTTTATAGACTTCCTTCTGACTGTCTGCATAGGTTTTCTGTCTTGAGAAATGGGTTACCTGTGAGTGGGTGGTATCATACTTGCTTCCATGTCCCTTTCAATATTTTACTCGGGGGGAAAATATTTGTTTGGTGATGGAGGGGTGGGTAAAAGGAGAACACAAAAGAGAAAGCAGTTGCGTCTTTGCAGTTGCTTGGTAATTAAAAACAAAATACAAGCAGAATTTACTGTTCTCTTCTACTGCAACTATTATGTATTTTAAAAAAAACCTGTCAACATTGGATTGTATCAGATGAATTCTACATTTGATTTGTTTTTGCAATACTGCTAATGAATGAATTTCTAAGAGAAATCTAGTCAAGTGTAAACTTAGAACTGTGAAACTTTGAAATGACATGCCTTAGTGTTAGTTTGTGTGTAGGATCTGAGAGAAATGTCATAAAATAATGGGTATTAGATTTATTTTTATATACAGGTTTCCAACTAATAGGGTGTGCATTTTTTGTGTTCCAAAAAGTGTTTGCTTGCCCTTGCCTTTGTTTCCAGGTATCCTTAAAGATTTTTATCTTGTTTTTTTAGGTAAATTAATTCCAAATTCATTAGCAGATGGAAAAAGATAAAATTCATCTGCACAAGATCGGCATCTAACATATGTTGACTGTATTTTCAGTAGGACAGGAACAAACCTGTTTAGTCTGTTGGTTAAACCAAAACTTCTTAAATTATTTGAAATGTTTATCAATGTTATTTTTCATAAAGTTTCTAGTTTCTAAACATAAATATCTCAATAAATATCCAGAGTAGGAAGCACATTGAACAAATGAGATCTTCAGTATTTTTCCATCGAAGTCGTGCTAACGTAAAATTACATTAACGTGGAGACCGAGGAGGTCGTAGATGTTTTCCTCCTTTTCAGTGTGCAGAAAAAGCAAATGCAACTTCTAGTTATCAGGTTCAAAACAAAAGGACCTTTAGGATCCAAGACATCCTTCAGCCAGGTATTACGTACCTTGAATTATATGGGATGTGTGCATGCATATATGGAAACAGTTTCTCAACCTCATGAGAGAAGAATCCTTTCAAGCAATTGAAGATCTGGCTGTTGATTCAGAATGACTCTGAGCTGGAATTTACTGAAGGCTCAGAGAGTATTCTGAGGAAATGCTACTAAGTACTTGGCTATTTAAATATATCTTTCCCTTGGCATCTGCTGTCCAGGCACAGGATAACAGGTTTGGTGATCCAGATTAAATTAAACGTCCAGCTGTTTGTGGTGTAGAAATATTTCTAGGTATTCTTTTTTTTTAAATTGGATCTAGGGGTCCTGCAGGAGCCACTTAACCAGTTAGGTTCAGTACACAAAGTAATAACAGGGACGTTATAAACCTTAATCAAGTGTAGGGAAGTCAACCTTTGCTTATGCAGCACCTTTGTCTGAAATAAGCTTAAAATAATAAGCAGAGGGAAATTGGGTTATTAAGAGCCCAAGGGAGAAAAGAAAGGTTAATGACTCTGCTGAGTGAAGAGTATGGAGGAGCCTGGAAAATGTATTGAGTCAAGTTTATAAATCAGTGTCACACAGCAGCAAGGTGAACTATATATGGCATCTAAATACTTCAGAATGGCTTCAACAAATTGCATCTCAATACAAGGTTATTTGCCAGTTGCTTGCTTTTAAACACTAGAGTGGTTTTCAGAATACAAATCTAGTATTTGCTTGGCCAGATGTATCGGAAAAGGTAAGGATACTGCAGTTTAACTCTTGGGAAAGCATGAACAAGATGTGATATTACGCAGTTATTAAGACATGCAAGGAAATATTTTAAACGTCAGCCATTCTCAATGTGTGCCACTTAACCAATAATTATATGTGTTAACTATGACTCACTGTACTAATATGATGTTCAGAGATGATTCAGGAGAAGAGCAGCTATTGTTAAGGTGTGAGAGAAAAATAAATGCAGTAATGACTGATATCCTTTTTCTCTAGCTTCAGAGAAGGGGGGAAAAAAAGGGCTTAAAAGCTAACCTTGCCTGTTGAAGCCAATTTTTTAATGCTACCTTAAGTGAATGCTTGGAGAAAGAAGGCATCTGTAGAGTTGTAAAAGGTTAGCCAACATATTAATTCTGTTTTTGGTAGAATCAGTTATTTGTTATTAGTTCTGGCACTGTATGGAAACATGGAATACTGTCATATATGCTAGTAGTGATAGTCTCAGAACTGGTTTGACTTTTTAATATTATTTTATATTTGCGCACAGATGTATAATTGATGAGGCAAGAAAATACAGTATTTTATTTGAAACTGGGTGATGACAGCTGTTTGCTTCTAACTTTAGCTAGATCTTCTGAAACTGCTTGTACCATTCGTTCTGTAGTTCTCTTCAAATTGTTTGCTGTCTCTATGGCATGATCCAGAGTAGAACTTAAAATCTGTTGAGAATAATAAAACATAGCTGTGCTAATACTGAAGACAAATGTTCCCAAAGGTATAGAGCAGAATGAAAAACAAGTTTAATTAAGGTCTTTTTGTAGCATGTTAACAGATCTATTTCAAATGCATATTGAAAAGTAAACATTCTGAGTCATGTGGTAGACTACTCAAGGATTCAACTTGGAAATGACCACTATTTATCTCGGGAATATTTACATGAGTAGCAGCCACAATGTAGTACGTGTTTGTAGTGAGAGAGGGTTGTCCCATTTCCTGCATCCCTGGTTTTGGTAGCAGTTAATGAGGCTAGATTTGACACTACTTATTTCGGTCTAGAAAATTTAATTTCAGAGGTAAGATCTGTTTCCTTTTTCTGGACCCTTTCCCTATTTATACAGGGACTAAATGGTGTAAAAATTCTCAAAATGCTTAATGTGAAGGAATATACCAGAGTGAAATCCTTAGATGTGGCAGTATTCCAGAACGTCCAGGTGGTCTAGAATGTGAATATACTGCCTGCAGCATTTGAACAGAACTGCAGGCCAAGAAGAAGGTGTTGCAATCAGAAATAAGGGTGCGTGGGTGACTTAAAGCCATTTTGGCACACTCTACCTTGTAGATCTGTAAGTTGTCTTTACATTTGAAAAGCACAGTACAGAATATTTTACAGAGACTGTCTTACAACAGTACTTAAATGGTGTCCTGTGTTCATGCATGTTACAGTACTATACCATATACTGAAGTTTATTTGGATTTTAATATGGTAAGCCATAAGTGATTTTGAAGTAGCATGAAAAACTTCATCTAAAAGGCAAGTTTTTTTTCTTATTCCCTTCTGTTTCATCCCATTCTCTTCAAGTGCACCAGACAAGTTTAGACAATAATAATTAGTTTCCTGAGGATGTTAGAAAGTGCCATGACAGGGCGTACTCTGCCGAGTTGTTGTTTAATTTTGACTCTAAGGTCTTACGTTTGCTTTGGAAACGCTCATATTTCCATTTTGGATGTTGACTGCTGACTTTCTTCCAGAAATCATCTTTCTGGGTAGGTACTGGGATGAAAGGACAACAGTATCACACATGCTCGAATAGCAGGTTTTGACAGTCTCCATATTTTGCCTATAAGAGTATATAGGAATGTGCATTAATAGTATGTAAGCATATATATTGTATGTGAATGAGAGAATAATAAGCAGTTTTACTAACCCAAGCAATTTTAAAACTGTGAATTAGACACTTTGTTAGCATATTTGTTTGAGAGTTAATCTTATAGCAAATATGACTTTTCACTTGATTATAAAACACAGTCCAGCATAACTTGTGTCAAATATGCACTGCAATGAGACAGCAAACACACCAGAAGGCAGGATCAGTAAATCTCTTAAGATGGTGCAGAGCCATCTTTTCCTTGATCCTATAACTGTCTTTTATAAAGTGGCAAATGAGGGTTTGTTTTAGTCTAGTAATGTAGTGTTGTTTTCTTCTCAGTCTCTAATGTAATTTAATGTTAAGTACTATTATTTGTAAAGAAATAATTGGTATAAAACAGAATTGCATCTTCACTAATCTAAATTCAGTCCTGAATCTGTAAATGTGTGTAAATGTTATTTTCAAGCAAGGGGTGTCTTTTGAAGTCGCTTTTTAGTGAAAAAGTCAACTAAAGGCATTGTGTGTGGATTCTGTTGACTGACTTAAAAAGATGGAAGAGTGACTGAATTTTTTTTTACACTTCCTGTCACGGTAAATATTTTAATTTCATTAGCGAGCAAACCTCTTATGTATGGCATGGTCTGCAAAAGAGAAGACACTGCCACTGCTTATGATACTGGTGTTGTTTTTTGCCCATGCTGAATCATGAATAATGACATCTGCTGTCTACTGCTTATATATAGTAATTACTATAGCTTACCTTTCAGAAAGTCTGTTTACAATGTGGGGTGGTGGTACATGTCTGTAAGCTTTTTGAGTGGAGCTTATTCTCTTCTGTGAATAGGCTGAAAATGTGGAAGCCATGTTTAGTAAAAACTGTAAATTCATAAAAATTACATTTTTCTATGTGTCTGTTTAGGAAAAATCGTGTTCAGTTATAATCACTACTACAATCATGACATTATCCTCTGCACAGTATTTTTTAAAAATTAATTTTAATATCACTGCCAAATAAATATCAAATTCAGCTAGATATATAAAAGTTTAATTTGCTGATCTTGTTCTCCAAGAGATATACTCATCTATTGTTTATATACAGTGCTACTTAATTGCTCATAACAAATTAAATTTGACCTATCACTATAAATACAAGCGTAGGCAGGCAGCATGGCTTTATGCCCTGTAATCAAGCTTATGCTTTGCAGTTATTTCAGGAAGACCTAATACTTACAAATTATGCTGGAATTTTTCTTCCTACAGAGGGCACAAGGCTGAGGTAACTCTTTCAATTTCCTGAGTTTAAATTGTTCTCTGCTTCCTCTGGTGCATCTCTGTCTAATTCCTGAAAACCAAGACATCAAAGCTTAATTTAAAAAAAAAAAAAAAAACTATAAAAAGCAGTGTTTTTATGTAGCAATCATTATACCTTTTCTCTCTCCATGTAATCTTGTATTGAATATCTTGTGACTTTCAATCTCGTGGTTCAGAAGTTCCTCACTTTGTGAATCATTGTAAGAATCATAGGCTGAGATGTCTTCTGAATCACTACCTAAAATACCCAAAATATATTAAAAAGGTCTGAAATAAATACTAAAAAATTATGGCTTGCTACCTAAGTACTTGTTTATCTTTCAGCACCATAATTTAAGCCCTTCACTGCCACTAACGTTACTGCAGTTCAAAGTAGTACTTTTCCCTCTCCATAATTTTGTGTAGATTCAATAGTAGGTGTAAGCATGGTTCTGCCCTTTGCATGCCAGTGCTACTTACTCAGGTTGGTATCTGATAAATCAGTTGGTTTTCCTTGAATGAAGATTGAACATCTTCCAGTTTTCCTTTCCTGCCTGTTTTCATTACTTTGATCATGAAAACAGAATGAGATTTTAGATACATGTTAATATTAGCATGACAAGCCTTCTGAATACTTTAACTACTGTTTAATTAAAAAGTAAATTTATTCATATCAGTTATCTGAAAAGGTGGTAAGTAGAAGCTTAAGTTAAAAGCTAATCATAAATTAATGACCCTTTTAATTAAAGGACACTGATTTTGCTGTTAAATGTTTTAAGTAAAAGATGATAATCCCATCTCTGTATAACAGAATGTTGTGACATTGTTTTCTTACATACAGATGTCCACATAACGCATCAAAAAATTATTAAAGGTCAGGATGACATGTTTTTTGAGCGCATTTGAGTGGTTATTTTAAAGATTTTAAATGTATTGCTTGTAGAGAAATTTGAGACATACCTTCTGAAAGAATACAGTTCCTTGTTTGCCATATTTGTAAAATGTATTTTCAACTTAGGGCATACAGAATCATCAAATTTGTTTGGAAATTTTTCTACTCGTTCATGAAAACAGTGATCAGAAGATTGAGCTAGTATTTCTTAAGTGAGAGATAGAGAGAAAGAGAAAAAAAAAACTGGAGGCTACGTGAGTTTTACAGGATAAATACTAACATCTATTCAGTAAGTCTGAGTGCATGTTTATCTTGTGCTTACCTTCTTCCTTCAGTATATTTAGACGTATATCATGTTCTACACTGCACATACTACAAGATCTAGCTTTGGGTGGAGATACAATTTGCCAAAAATTCAAACTCCTGAATAAACCATACAGAATTAATCATGTTGATATTTCTGTAAATAAAACTTTACAAAATGAACTGTAAATCTTCACAGATTTATCAATATGCCTCTCCCTCCATGGCTGTCAGGTAAGTTCATAACAGTGATTATTGCAAGTATTTTTGGTTACCAGAAACTTCGCAGCCATTCCTGTTCAGGTTGCTGAAATGCATTCCTAAATAGAGACTGAATGTAAAGCCTGTTCTTTTCATGGCATGTTAAAATAAGCTTGTGCCATTGAGTACCACAAACGGTTGGTTTTGGTGAGAAAGGCTGCTTTGTAACATGAATATAATTCTATTTGTAATAAAATCAATTTTAGGGAGGTCTACCGTTTCTCAGGAGGTCTGGTATATGGTGTATAGTGGTGATATCTGCTTATTAGTACTTCATCCTGCCATTTTAAATGCATTAAAAACATTATTCAGAGTTTCAGGAGGAATCCAGTATATAGACATATGGATGTATCAATTTTCCTGAAGAAAACTACTTTTGCAGCTAGGCAAGATAGGTAATACACTTACGTTTTCATGCTTTCTTCATCAGCCTTAGATTTTTGGCTTAGTTTTCCCAGAGTATAGGATCCAAGACCTTCAGCACCATGTGTTTCCTCAGTTGAAAGAAATCTCTGTTGCATCCAGAAGGAAAAAAAAAAAGAGTGTTTACATTATTTTGCATGTATGAAACAAGACAGTGTGAACAATGGTATGGTTTGTGTGCTGTTTTTCATATTGTTTTTAGTTGTCATCAGCGCTACAAACTTATTTTCCTATTTCCAATTCTAGCTGTAGAGGAGACTGAAAAACACTTGAATGCTTTTAAATCTGGATAGTTGGACTATCAGATTGGCATTAGCGTAGCTTTGAGAGGATTAGCATGTATTCATTCATTTCTCTCATGGTTTAAACCAAAACGATTCTTTTAGGCACATAAAGGCAAGCAAGGCAACACAGTTAAGTCTTTCCTAAGAGAAGCCAACATTATTGCAAATTTCAAAAATGTTCAGAAAGCCTTTCCTTAAATCTTTTTGCAGCCAATTCAGGAAAATTGTTCTGAGCTGTATTAGCTCAAAAGTTGGGCTTTAACCTTGTGCAAAAACTGAAGGTAAAAATACTGGATAAGCAATGAGAAATTGTCTCAGTAAAGCTGAGATGATAAAGATATCATATATCTGTTGTATCTAAGATGATAAAATGAGTGTGAAAATGGATACCATACCATTACATTTGGAGAATGCTTGTTTGCTAGCAGACCTTGTCTTACCAGGGACTGCATTTCTCTCTTGGAAGTCAATTCATCTTTCTTCTGTAATTGCAACTGGCTAAGGAGAAACCATTTATTTATTTTATTCCTGTAATATCATTAAGATGATTATCACTTAACCAAATACTCCCCGAAAGTGTGGATACAGTCTATAGAACCCTTTCAGAAAGCTATGACGGTTATTAGCAAAGGATCTGCATTTTTTTATTTATTTTTGTTACATAACTGCTAGTCATTCATATCCTGAAATTTGTGCAGTTGTATAGAAACTTTAACTCCTAGTGAAACTGCTTGTATTGTGGCTTCAGAGAATATCTGCTTGAGTATTACGAACTTCAAAGTAGGAGTGCTGGACAGGAAGGAATTAATGGGTATGTAGTTAAGGAATTATATAAGAGGTTTAGTCTGGAAATACTCTACATGCTCTCACATGTTTCAGACATCCCAACCTTCTATCCTTGGCAAATAATTATAGATCCAAACTTTTAAATTCAGTAGTTTTCTCTAAGTTTTGTACTTACACATGCAGATAAGGATTGTGCTTGTCTGCTTCTAAAGATAATTCATGATTTGTCCGCGGGATTGCATCAGTTGTATGACTTAAATTTTTCTCCTTGTTGTTCTTGTAAAGAAATGCACTTTCAACAGCTGTTCTTTCTGGAGGATCAATAATGCTTGAATTTCCTGAGCCCTGTGCAAAGTAAGACATACAGTATGTGATCGTTGTCTTGCAAGTACCTCACTTCTACCAGCTAGCATTTTCTGAATGTCTCCAAATTTAGGATTCAGAGACTTTAAAAATTCATGAGCTTTTAAAATACTGACAATGAAAGTATTTAGTGATATTTCATCACCTTGAGTTTTATATAAAAAAAAAAGTGCATTATGATCCAGGACAAAATATTATTATATTTACCAGTAAACTGTTTTATATAGCGCAGAAATGTATTTCTTCTTTTAGTAATTCTCCAGTTTAAGAATCTTGAACAAACCAAGTAGCATTTCATTCAAACTGAGAGGGATTCTCAAAACCAAAGCAGAAATTTGTAAAAGTTAAGATAGCTGCTTGTTTTTATATTATTTTTTGCTTGTTTTATTGCTTGTTTTGCTTGTTTTTTTGATATTTTTTGCTATTTTTGCTATTTGGTTGTTTATTGCTATTTATTGCTTGTTTTATATTATTTTTCAATGCTTTTAAAGCTGGGGCCAGAAATAGTCAGTATATAGCTGTGTTGGTACTTAGGTTTCAGCTAGAATTAATGAAATATTATAAAGGCTATATTTCACCTAAATTATTTGAAGTGGCATATACTATCTAGAATTATGCTTTTACAGTTAGTAGGTGATTACAACCTCGATCAGGTTAATAAGATCTGCATCCCTAAAACATAGACTAATACTGTGTTTTAATGGCAAAACTCAGTAAGTTACCTCCCAGAGAGAATAAGATGAATGGGCAGATTCATAGGGAGTAAGCAAAGAAGGCGAGCTGCATTTGCTGTCATCAGGCTCTTCATGGATGTCTTCAAGCAGCATGCCAAGTCCAAATATTTCTCCTTCCACCTTTCTAAACATAACAGCAATACAGTTAGTGAAACCTTTGCAAACTGATGTTCGCTTTCTTACTAGGATAACAATATTGGGTACATACCAGAAACAGTCCATAACGAAATTGCATTCACAGATTTTACTGAGTCCATTTATATACTGGAATTAATTTTATCCTGCTTATAATTGCAGTATCTAATCAGAAAGTCTGAGATGAACTTTGGCCAAATCACTTCTAATTTACCATACCGAAGTTAAGATAACTTAGTTCTGAAAAATATTCTAAGGACAGATGACTTAATGATTTTGAGATACTCAAAAATACCGAGAATGTGCGGATGTACTACTTAGGACTTATTTTCTAACCTTTCAGGATCAAACTTGCCAACATTGATAGACTTGTCCTTGTTGTTCTGTAGTTGTAAGTTATGGTGCTCCTCTTTAGCAGTTAAATAATTCTGTTCCAGGGCATCAAGGCATCTTTTCAAATCATTTAATACCTTCACCAAGAAATAATTTAATAGTAAAAGACATGAGAATGTAGCAAGCTATAGTGATAGCTACTTATGCTGTAAGCCAGATTCTCTTTGCAGTGATGATCAATATGCTATTTTGCTTTAGCATATAGCATATACACAACAGGAATGTGTTGTATATGTCCATTAAGTAATCTGCAGTGCTTTGTTATGTACAATATTAAACCATGACTTCTAAACTTGACAGTTTAAATGTAAAAAATATTATTTTATGGCTACTTAAGGCTTTCATGATGTTTTGAGTTGTAATCTTTAAAGCAGAGTTAAGAATTTGACCACCTACTGAATACTTTATTTCTGCTTTTACATTCATAATTTCAATCTGAGATTATATATATATTATATATATATATATATATCTGTTTGAGGAAAACATTGACAAGTCAACCACCATTTAAAGTGCATTTCAGATGTCTAAAAATGTATGAATTGGTTTACCAGGTATTTATCTTGTAAAAAGAATGTTTCCTGGATCTTATGTTGAGAGAAGTCTTCTACCTTCAAGAGGAAAAAATCAGAATTTTTTACTTGGGATTTTTAAAGTGAATATGCCAACGCATATAAAAATTGAGCATCTGTACTAAGTATATATTGAAACACAGGTGGTTATTACTTTCTTTTTCAGTTGAGCTGTTTGTTCCTTTAATATCTGAGTCATTTTTTCCCCTGGTGTTAGTTCTGGCAGTAAACTGGAAGGATCCAGGCAGTGTGCTTCTATGGTACCAGCTGATGGTAATGTTGATACCATTGCCCCACACTGTAATCCTACATAACACAAGAGAATATCGAGCAGTTGGAATTTCTACCCAAAAGATTTGTTGTTTTGCATAAAATGTAATTACATCAAATAAAATCACTATTTGCATAGCTACTATAACTCAATTTACCTGTTTCAGACAAATCGAGCATTGGAGAGTGTAGTGCAAAGACTCCAGAGGACACCTCACTGCCTCCTGAGTACATGGCAAACCTTGGATTTGGAAAAGCTGACTGAGAAAGTACCTGTTAAAATGGGAAGGCTTTGTCTATAGAAATGTTGTATGGAACACTTATGGACATCAACTAGAATGAATATGAATAGCTTAAAATGCACAGGACAGGTTTTCAGTAAAAGGAAGTATGTTTATTGTTATCCCATATAATTTGTTAAATTTAGTGTCTTATTGTATAGATGCTTAAAACTTCAATTTTATGTTATGGAAATTAGAAAATCTGCATAAATGGGAGGAGGAGCAACTTGAGGATAACAGTATTTGGGTGAATATTTATAATCTTAGAGATAAGAGAATGAATTAAGGAAGACTATTTTTTTGAGAGGTTTACCTTAGGATTAAATCTGAGCTGATCAATATGATTCTGGGTGTCAGCATGCTCTGCCAGCATCTTGTATACAACCAGGAAATAACGAGAGAGAATTACTGAACATTATTAGCTATCATAATTTTACTAAGGTACAAACTTGTCATGTTAGATGTTCTTGAACAGCAATTATTTTCTTATAGTAGCATCACTCTTACAGATACTAAGAATTTCTTAAGAAATTCTTAAGTTTGTGAAATCCTTAAAACATTTACCTGTAGCTGTTGCAACAGCTCTGAAACACTCATTTCTTCTTGATTCTCTGTTTCAGCAAAATCAAAGCAGTTCTTGTTTTCTACCGTGTCATCCACAGTTACTGATTTATTAGGCAAAATAGGAAAGGCTTTTGTCCTTTCAGTGATGGGAACTGCTTTATTGTTGCTGTTGCTTTTTGGTCCTTCAGCAACTTGAGAAAAATGAGGTGGGCAGTAATGAACTTGAGTTGTGCCACGCTGAGATGAAGCTGTTTTCTTAAATAGATCTCTTTGTTCTTCTGTAGGGTTTTGAAAGATGAGCCTGTCTTCATTCTTACTAGTTAGAGGTGAAGTTCTTTGTATGCATTCACACTCAGAAGTTGTAGAAATAACTCTTTTTGAAACAAATGTATTTTTATTTAGCAAAGTGTGATCTTTCTCACCAGTATCTATTCTCTCGCCGTTTTCTACACGATAATTTTCCAAGTTAGTTGGTGGCTGTCCATGAGATAAAGGGCTTTGGGCCAGTTCTGAAGTCTCCAGCTTATTGCTAGCTTCATCAGTGCTTTCAGTAAAGGATACCTCTGGTATGGTCTCACATTCAATTAACTGGCATGTGGTTATTAACTCTCCCTTAGAGAAATGGCGCAAAAGGACATCAGACATTTTTGAACCGGCGAGGTGCTCCTTCCTACCTGCTCTGCTAAAGCCACCAATGCACAATTCACTCCTACGAGAAGCTGCCCTGCCACGTGTTTTGTTCAAAATTCCACTTGTTTCTGGGGTACGTGCATGGCAGTTGAAAGCTGCTTCAGCTTGGGGGTGAGTTTCAGCATCTGCTGGTGCTTTTATATTCTTGTTATCTTCAGAACAGGATACATTAAGAAAAGTATCAGAAATATGTTCTAAATAAGCACACTCTAAACAAGCACCCAAGTCCTCTGAATAATTACTGTGTTGACAGGTTATTCCTAGGTCGTCATCACCGGGTAGGTCTTCATTTTCCTCATCAGTCATGTCTGTGATATGGTCTAATTTGTCTGAAAATGACATATTCCTTGGGATGAATGATGGTTTGCCCTTTTTCATATCTTTCTGTCCCGATTGTAGTGCATATAAATGTCAGTGCTTCACGGTTGTCAGAGAGAACTTTTATTTTAAGGATACGGGTCAAGCTCTGTAAGGCAGGAGTGATAGTTACTTGGTATTTAAATGTACTGAAAATCGGGAGCACACGGTGCAAAAGCGGGGCGGGGGGTGCAGGAGCAGGAAGGCAGGGACAGCTGCGAGCGCAAGGGAAAAGAGGAAATAAAAAAGGGGAGGCGGGAGGGGCGTGTAATAAGTGGGGGGTGGCCCAGGCCGTTACCTCGCTCCACGTCCCGCCGCTCCCGTGTCCCCGCCGCGCGTGGGGACTCTGCGCGGCCGCCCGGGCGACGCGTAACCCGAGCGGCCCCCAGCGCCGCGGGGCGCGTGCCCCGCCCCAACGGCCGCCGCCCCCATTGGCTCTCGCGGAGCACGCGGGAGGCGCGCGCCTGGAGGAGCCGTTGGCCGCCCCGCCACGCGATTGGTGGGTTCGAAGCGCGGCTGCGCGTGGGCGGGCAACGGTCGCGGCCCCGCCCCGCGGTGCCGCAGCCGCCGCGGTCGCTCTGGAAACGGCTCCGGTAGCGGCAGGAGGGCGAGGGGCCCCCTCGAACCCCCCGGGCCCAGGTGAGTGCGGAGCGGCGCTTGGGGGAGGCCCCGCGGTGCGGAGGGTGCGGTGGGGTCGGGCTGGGGCTGCCGCACCTGCCGAGCGGGCGGGCGGGCGAACGGCCTTCAGCGCGGAGCGGCCCCGGGTGTCGGCCAATAAACTGCGGGTGGCCGCCGGGCTTGGGGCCTTGAGAGCGAAACCAGTCTCTGCCGGTCTAAATAGAACCGAAATTATCCGTGCTTCTTCATAGCGAGGTGGTAGAAAAAATACGGATACCACAGCAGTTATGCTTAGTTGTTGTGTTGCATCTAACAGGGGCCTGCAAACATGCCGCGAAGCACAATGTTTGTGAGGAGCAAGTTCCAAACTCAAGAATTTCAGTTACAAATTGCATCGTGGCATATCTAAATGCATGCGGTACTGAATGTGTCCCACCTCGCCTTGCTAAGCCTAGGGATCTGTTGCCTTTGCTGGCCTGTGTCGACTCCTTCCTCTTCCTCCTTTGCTTTTTAATTGCTTTTAAGGTGTGAGGCATATAGCTAAACAGGATTGCTTTTTTCATTTATTTATTGACCCGTTAACAAAGATATAACTTAACCAATAGCTTATCAAAGACAAATTATTCCCCTTTCAAACTGCCTTTCTCCTTGACCCTTTAAAGTCTTTCCTGGGTAGGCTGTGGAGCGCAGGCATCCTGGGTTGCCATGGAGAGCTACACGGCCATCTCAGAGTTCAGGAGGTCCTGCATCCCCAAAAGAGCAGAGAGCACAGACGTCCTTGAATAGTGCATAAAAGCTTGGCACCTTTTGTTTGTGATGAGTCATAATGTTATTAGTTACTAGAGCTGAGAAGGTCAGCAAAAAAGGGCATCTTCACTATGCTGTCTTTGACAATTCTTCACCTCTAGTTTTTAGCCTCGTTTCTGAACTTGTGTGCGCATGTGCCACTGCTTTGTCTTACCGCTTAGTCAATGGTTACCCAGAGTAGGAGGACTTCATACTCCCAATTACTTCCGCATAAAGCTTGCACAGGGTGGTTTTTTTTTTGTTGGTTTTTTTTTTTGTAGTTATAAGGCCAGTCTTTCCTCTTAGGAATGCTGAGATAAAGCTTGCAAACAATTGGAAAGTCTGTTTTGTTTTTCAGAGGAGAGAAGAATGAAGCTCTAAGCTGAGTCTTAGGGTGATAATTTCTTGATACTTTGCTAGAATTATTTCAAGTGTCAATTTTGGGCCTTTTCTCATCTAGTGGTGCCAATGAATTCATTTTTCTAAATGGATATTCCTCAGATTCCAGTGTGCACCATGGTATGGGGAGCATCTCCACTCTCTAGTAGTTAGGAGAAGATGTAATAAGAAACATATTTTTCTTTAAGAAAAAAAAAAAGCTATTTTCTAGTAGGTTTAACTATTGAATATGTCGAGGAGTTTTTCATTTTTACTCAGTTTATCTGTTTTGTTAAAACAGCAGTGTTTTTAACTTTTTTGTTTGTTTGTTTTTGAGTTACACAACCTATTTACTTTTTTCAATAGTCATTCATGCACAGATCAGGTAACTATAGTCTTGTTGTTAATGATAGCATCTTAATGAAGTTATTTTTCTCCAAAGACTAGGTGTTGATGGTATGATTTCCTGAAAGATTAACATCTAAGGTCGCTAGGGTGGATAGTCCTTCACATGAATGAAGGAACAGAGAGATACTAGGTTAAGAAAGCAAACAAACAAAATTTTCTTTAAGTATGTAATAGGAAATCAGCTATAAAAATATCTGCATCTGAAAAGAAAAGAAAATAGTACTGCTTTGTGGTAAAGAAAATCAGGGATGTAAAAATTAGTAGGAGATCGTCTGCAGCCTGTAAAACCTGAAAATAACCCCAACAAATAATTAAGGTCAAGTTGCTTACTTTCACTCAAATCTGGCAATGTTTGGAGTAAATGATTCTTGTTTATACAGTAAATCTTGTGTGCTTTATGCGCCTTCTACTAATAAGGAAGAAAAACATGTATGTGCCTGAATTACAGGGAAAATATTCAGGGTCTGCCACCAAGGCTGTCAAAGTTGTTGCATTTTCTTTCTTATTTTCGCTTACTTGCATTTTCTCTACTATGATCCTAACGGGGTGCTGTTAGAAATTTTGTTCTTTGCATGCAAATCTTTGGAGCCTAAACCATACCTTGCTTGTCTGAAGACAGCTGTAGCATTGTGATTGAGAATGCTTGTGTGGCCACGCGTAAATACAGTGGGTCAATCTGTGTACGATAGAGCTAAAAGGGAATCCAGTATCTGTCGTTTCCAAGAGACTGACAAAAAATACATTGGAATAGCATTTGAATGGAACTGTGCCTGCAACCCCAATGTTAGGATAAATATGCAAAGCAAATTATAACTTGGCATGTCAACAATTTTAACAATTTTTATGTATTATTTTCATAAGGGAAATGGTATAAACAAAAAATGCATGTGACTAGATGAAGCAAACAATTAGAAAAACAAAATATTTTTCTTATTGTAGTGCATGCATATTCTATACATAGGATGTAAGTGCATGCTGTTTGATTGTAGAAAAATAATTGAGAAAAGTTGCCTCTGTAGTTCTCTAGCATTTTTTCTCTTTAATATGCTGTTAATATTGCAGAATTGAGGGTGATGTGACACACAGAGCAAATGCTGGTGGCAATTAAGTGCTGTGGATCAGTTTAATTGCATAATATAGGTTCTGTCAGAGCTATATCTGTTCCTTGTAGGATAGAAATGTTTGCTGGTATGGTAATGAGCTCTTTACACTGAGTGCTGGCTGCGTTACTGAATGAGCATCACAGTATGAAATGGCAGCTTTGATGTATCAGCTCTGTTGCATCATGTAGCTTTCCTGTTGAGTTTTATTGCCCTTGATTCTAAAGATTTTTTTGTGTGTGTGCGTGTGACTTGCAGAAACTTAATATTAATTTCATCTTATTTCTGTAAAGTGTCTGTGCAAGCTCAGCTTTTAAGTACCAGACTCTATTTTTAAAAGATAGAATGTTATGCTCCCAGAAGGGGCTGAGCTAAACAGAGCATATTATTGGAAAGCTTTGTGATCAACGCACTATATCAGCTAAATACAGAAAGCCAGCATTTTGTGTTGAACTTTCCCCATTTGATCTTCTTTTTTACCGTTTACAGTGCACTGTTTCCCAAAATGAGGGTATTTCAGTAAGTGCCCTGTGCCTGGGAGAGGCTTTAAGTCTGATGCATGTTCATTTGCATGACAAGATTGTGCCTAACAAGCAGAAAGAGTTCAAATTTAAGATCGGATATCGAATTGGGTATCAGTAACAAAGCTTTTACCATTTTTTTGGTGATGTGATTTCACTTTGTGCTTAGAATAAAAGAATCACAATTTAGCTTGAGATGGCACTGATGAGCTGCCATGGAAGTTTATCATGGCAACTAAACACTTAAAAATTGTAAATCTCGTCTCCAGTTTTTAGGTGCCTGGAAGGAGCGGCATATACCGTACAAGCAGCAAGTATTTGTTTTCAGTCAGATGATGATAAGGTGTCAAAACTTTATTAATCTGTTCAGAAAAAAAAAAAAAAAAAGATGGGATCCTAATAGTTTCATGTATCAAATATGTGAAAAATCACCGCCTATTCACATTTTGCTCTTGTTTAAGATACAAAGAGCTGTAATACTCATAGTCTCTTGAAGTCTCAATATTGTTTCCTTTAGAACTTGTTTTGAGTTGAGTATATTTATTTAATTTATTTCTAGTGATATTTATTATAAGGATGTGAGTTGTGTTAGGCAGCTGGCACTTCTGATTCCCTTCCTTGTTTTGTTAGTGTGCAATTGCCACGCTTCAGAATTGAAACAGATGGCTTACGTAAACTAACTACAGGGATATCCTTACAGTAAAAATGTCTGTGGTTGCTTGTGCTGGCTACACCCAGTTCTTTAACTTGCAGACTGGATAATAATTACATGCATTAAGCAACAATCTGGTTTCCAGCTAAATGTTGAATTTATTAAGAGTCAATATTCTGCTCTGGAAAGCGGATCTATGATAGAGGCACTGGGGAGTCCACCTTTGCATCATTGAACTCATTGAAATCATTGGATTTGTCTCCAGGTGAGGAGCAACTTCTTTACTGTGAGGGTGACAGAGCAGTGGAACAGGCTGCCCAGGGAGGTTGTGGAGTCTCCTACTCTGGAGGTCTTCAAAACCCGCCTGGATGCCACCCTGTGCCACATGCTCTAGGTGTGCCTGCTTGAGCAGGAAGGTTGGACTAGATGATCTGTAGAGGTCCCTTCCAACCTTAAATATTCTGAAATATTCTGAAATATTCTGAACTCCGATATTTAATATATCCAAAAGTCAGTCTACTA